ATTTCGGAGACGTTGGAGCACAATCTTTGATTGATGGATTACAACACAACACGGTAATTGCCATTCCTTCGTTATCTATACTGTCTTTATGCCTTCACTTTTTCATCTAGACACTCACCACACTGGATCTCCTGGACGTCGAAATCGGAGATGATGCGATACATGCAATCGATGTAATACTTGAACGAAATGAAAGAAGAAGAAAACCATAAATGATAATATTAAATGTAGTTGGAAGAAGAATAAAGCGGGTGTGATGATCTTGCTAGTATTTTATTTTGCGTTATAGTTTTATAGAAACAATAAATAAAACTGGTTTTGTTGAAACTTATGCTATATTGTAATGATAAGGTTTAGTGTGCACTTTTTGGTATTTGGTAAAGGCAGTGATGGTTTTATCAAAAAGTAAAGCTTGGACAGAACTATTTTGTGAGTGTACAGGGCGTGAAAAAATAAGTTGAGGTTCTCTGTAGCAATAGTAAGAATGACCGTTTCTGGTAGCAACGAACGATAAATGATTTCCTGTGATTATTGTAAAACCCTGCCAGATCCTTTCCGATAATGCTAGAGCAAAGAATCCAGCCCGATGATATTAAACAAAAAAAGTTTTACTTGAATAAATAGCAACGTAAAATGTGTAGTAATGATTATGGTTGCAGCCAGAAAGGTTCAGTGTTCAATACTGTTGAATCAAATAAGATTGTTTTGTTTTTGGAGAATTTCTCAAGACTTTGTAGTGACATAGCTGAATTATCAAGAGTTCAGTACAGAACACTGTTTCATCAAATTCACTTTGCATATGGTCCATAGTGTTACTGCATTTAGTTATGTTAGTTTTTTACTTAATTGCATGGCATGATTGTAACATAAGATATAACTGTATTTCTTTGCATTCAGTGAAAACCTGTTAGTGGTTAGTCGAGTTTAACTATATAAATATCCTACATTGATGCGTCATTTTGCTTTTTCAGACAAATTTAGTTGTTTGTCGATGATTAATAGTTAGATAAGACTTATGCCGTTAGTTAGAACTTCTTTTTTTTCTAGATTCTAACTTTAATACATATAACTATCCATATATGAATCATTGTATAAATAACCAGTAGCGACAAAAAATTGGTTATCAGAGCAACTGAATAAAAAAAAACAGAAGTAATCGTTTCTTATATTCTGATCACAAAACATTTTGCACTAAAACGGAATCAATGAGTCATAGCCTGAACTGATTTTCTTATCTCTCCATTTTATTGGATACGTATACTATATATAATGTAGATAGAACAAAGGAAAGAATACAAAGCGAAGAGTAGAGTTCATCGATCATAACCTTCACACAGCAATACATACATATAGATATATTATTAGTGTTTGTAAAACGAGTTTAACAATGATCTCTATACTTCTTCTGTTGATCTTATTGACAATCAATGATACAAATTCATATCAATGTAGCAAAAATTTAACTTCATCAACTTGTCGTCAAAATCATGCTGGAATCTATTATATTTATTTAAATTCCAGTGATCATTCGTATTATGAATTGATTTCACTTAATTCTGAAGGTAGTTTTATTATTCTTGGTTCAGATCAACAATCTGCTGCAGCATCAACAACTAAAAGTGCAGTTGTACAACCTTATAGTGATATTTTAGGAAAATGGACGTGTGAAGTACATGATCATTTAACTAAGATCTTAATTAATGGCTATAATTTTGTTTATAAAACAAAAGTTTTAAAGAATTATGCAGTAATTGAAAAATATACATTAACATTGGATCATAATTCAATGAAAATTCAAGGTCAACAAAAATTTACCTTTGTTACTTTAAATGCAACTCAATCTTTCAAAGAAAGAAAAAGTCAAAAAGAACCATTCTTATTCGATATTAATGGTTATCAAGTTGAAAAATATTGTGTATCAGAATCAAATTAATGTCAATGATAGTATCAAGATTCTATACGATTTTCTAAACAATAAACAAAAGATTAAATGGTAGAGAGCACTTTTCTTCTGCAATAGATCATCGATATCCATTATCTTACACATCTGTCGTCTGTTATTTTCCCTTTATGTCTATCATCTGCAAGTACGAGTAATATACCCATTAACCTCTTCCATTTCTCTCTATCTCTTCTTTTTCTTTGTGTTTTCTGTTCCTTCATGTACATGAGTATTTATGTTGCACTACATGTAGTATTAATCTATAGTTGAGGCTTTATCATTTGAATCTTATATGTTCAACTTACTAATTGCTGTGTCTTTGCAAGATAACATTTGTTTAACAACTTAGTTAATTAGAATAAAAATAATTAATAACGTTGAAGACATCTAAATTGTTATGTTCTCTTGAATCGTCATCATGGATCGATTATGAACAACGATAAAAGGTTCTTTAACGACCTTTTGTATTGTTGGATGAATGATAAATTGAAACACCACCCACACCCTAAAGATGGATTATAGTACACATTTAATGCTAAATTAAAAAATCATATTGATAATACAGTATTATACGGAGATGAATATGAAAGCATGGAAAAACTTTATTTAAGTCTTTATATACATAATCATAAATAATTATATCATATATTATTGACAGTAAATAAATCGGAAATCAATAACTTAAAATTTTTTTTAGTTTCTGGTATTGTCAGTTTTATTCATGATAATAGACAAGTACCAGTCATGGATATAGTTTATTTCCAGGACGAAAACATGTATTTATTTATCGAAAAAAAAACAATTATTTTTTAGTGCTATCGTATACAAAATGTATGAATGAACATTCTCCATGGGTGAAAGATATGTTTGATAATTATTCGTATGCTGATTATAGATATCCATAAAATCTTTGTATTCGTCTTAGTATGCAAATATATACGTTCGTATAGAGATAGAATCGAATTTTAAAATCAATATAAATACATTGTATTTTATTGCTAGTTACGAAAAATATGATTGTGTTATCCTTTTCTTTGAAGTATTCGTACATTTTTTCATCTGGTATGGGTAAATGCCTGGAATTAAACGATCTATTGAGAATTCTTTAATATCATTACCTTCAGATTGGTCAACGGCATGGTGTGAATATATTCATGAAAAGTATGTTGCTATAAGTGTTATACGTGAAACAGGTTTTATAGAAATGAA